TTTACAACCTTTCCTATAGAAAATATATATTACACTAATTAAAGCTTGTATGGCAATGGGTTCAATAAGTCTTTTCATATTGAAACATTTAAGATAGGCTTTAATGCTCTTATCTTCTTGCTTTATGATGGTGAGAAGCTTAGTAGTGCTCTTTTTGGTTGGAATACTTATGCTAAAGCAAGAGTGAGTTTAGAGTTGAGATCACAAAAATAGAGGATAAAGCCAGGATATATACTATGGTACTATGCACATGCAAACCTATAAAGTATTGTTGTAAAACCTTTATATATAACATCATTATCTTATATGACAAGCTTAAGCTGATATCTCACATTTTAAATGTGATTTGAGTGGTCTGTGAGCCCCTCAAGTTGTCTAAATTTACTTTTTCAATGACAAAGTCTTTAAATTTTTTACTGATTATCTAGTATTTTATGATGAAACAAAGATTCTATCACTTGATAAAGCTTGAGTTTAATTTGTTGAGTCATGAATTTCATCTCATACCTAGTTCTTTTTATATGAGGATGCATGAGGGAGACTCATATAGGGATCCATAACATCTTAATCCTTATTTAAAGTGTCTTATATGATAACAATGGGTGTAACTTTTGTTAATTATAGAAGAGCAAAAGTCACTCATTTATATGTCATTTTTCCTTGTCTTTTTAGGAACTAGAGTTGTTATTGCATAATTAGTAGTGCCTACTTGAAAGCTTATTATTGTGTAGAAAAAAAGGTGTGAAGATAACATCATTGAGCATTTTAACCTAATAGGATAGTTTTTTAAGACCTTAGGGAGCTAAAGTCCCTGAGGTATGGAGATAGGTTACTCTTGTTCTAAATTTTTATCAGCTATAGAAAGGGTTTTAACAATTAGTGAAAGGGATCAACAAGCATTTTGTTTAGTTCCCTATAAACAATGTAATTTATGATGTCATGAAAAAAAAAAAACCTTATAAAAATGGGGTTTTCCAGTGCCTACTATTAGTTGAAGTGGTTAGTGAATCGCCAATGATATACTGATAAAAAAATAACCGATCATAAAGAAAAAAAGAATTTATTTTTGCATAGATCGCACTATGATCATTAGCTAAAATATAGTGTTGCATAAAAAGGTTTTACTTGTAGATAATTTATCAGGAAAGGATGAAAAAATTATATGTATAAACATTGTATGTGTCATGTTTTAACTCTTTAAAACTTGAAAAATATATTGAAATGTATAAAAAAGTTGAGAATTATTTTAGTACTATGATAAAATCTAAATAATTGTTTGCGCTCAAAATAAAAGAGAAACAAGTTAGGCTAGTGCAGGTGGACTGAATAACAGTCTATTTGTATTATGGCCTAAAAAACTAGAAATAGTCAGTTTGGATATCTCACCTAAACGGACTTGAGGCACCCTTTTTAAGGTATTGGCCCAAAAGGGTTGCATCTATTTTTTTTCCCCTCTAATGTGTGCAATGCACTCGTTAAAGAGTGGGTCACTTTGCTACCTTCAAGTGGTGCATGCAATCCACTTTGACCTTTTTTAGTGGTTAGAATTATCTCGACAAAATTTTTTTACAGGTATTAGATGTGTCAAGTTCAGATATCAAATCCTCAATGATTCATTATTTCATTCTTTTTTTTTGCTCCTCTCTCCTCTCTCATGCCATGTTAGTATTGTAAATTGAAAAAAAACATGTATAATGAATGTAAAAATGCATGAAGTGAATTAAAATTAAAGATGAAGAAATATGTATAGGTGCATTTTTTCATGGTTTGAACAAGGGAGAAGGAGCTTTAGTTCTATTTTTATTTCTCTACTTGGATTATGGCCTAAACAAACTTTGATCACCTCTACAAAACCCTAGTAACTTCATTAACTTAGAACTCTCATCATTAGGATACAATGGTAACATATGTAGAGAATCCTATATCAACCATTTCATGGATAGGTTTTCTTCCCTTTAATATATCCTTTAGTTGGAAAAATATAATAGCTCGTGCAATTCAATTGATTTCAATATATTGCTTATTTGTGATAAGCAGAAAATGAGGGTTCTTTTTTTTTTTTTTTTTAGGTCATAGTCTTTTAGTATAATGTCTAATGCAACAATTCTTGATTTCTATTCTTCTTAAACTATATATTTCATGATACCATTTATCACATTAATAGCTTATCATCTTTAACCATTCATGTAGACTACATACATGTAAGATACAATAGTATTATAAAAATAAAAGGTATATAAACACCATATGCAAAATATAAAATTTACCAACATACCATAATTTACATATCCTATATTTAAATATCGATATCATACAATTTTACAAAATACAAGTCACATATTCTTACTACTGCATATATTATTACATGATCGTATGGTTTCACAATGAGCATATTATAAGATTTCTAGATGCCATGGTTATGAGATAGTGCTATTAAAAATCAAACTTGATGTACATGCATAAACATTAATTATGATACAATTGAGAAAATAATATAGTTGTGGTTAAGATTAATATCTAAGAGTAAGTTCATATTAATAATTTTTTACCGGGTCTATCTTGAATACATTACTTCACATCTTCATGCAATATAGTCAATGTTACTTTATTTTAAACTATGTTCGACAAACAATTGATGACATATATCATGGTCTAGAAATTCTTATACATATAGAATTCTTCAATGTGTAAATGATTCATCCCTAGCTATAACCAATTTATATAGTTTCTTAAACATGATTTATGGTTGAAAATAAAACGTTACAATCTTTCTTTCTTCGTATCAATGAATGCTATCAACTGAGGCTATTCTTAAAATTCACTTTCAATTGTCCTAGTATGGACACCATTAGCTAGAGTTAATCTTATAATTTACTCCTAGCTATCCAATATGGGTACCATTAGGTAAGCTAATCTATGACATTTTTCCTGGTTATCGGCATGGATGTCATTAACCAAAGATAATCTTATACATCTATTCTCAACTATCTGATATAGATGTTATTAGCCAAAATAATTTTATGATGTGTTCATGACTATACAATATGGATACCATTAGTCATGGATGTTATTAGCTGAAACTGATTTTATCAATCATTCTCGGCTATCTAGCATGGATATCATTAGTCAAAGTTAATCTTTGTATTCTTTATAATTCATAGTTAATCAAATAATATAATTAAGACAACAATACCTTATAAAAAATACCTCAACAATTTAATAAAAATAGATGAAGGTTGAAATCACCTGTCTACTCCCCCTAGTAGTATGTCCTCACCCAATCGAAGATTAGATTCCTGTTATACCTTTTGATCATAAAAAGACCATTAATTAATATATTTTATCCATATGCATCATCAAAGATTATTTCCACACACATTTATGGATACACACGCATATAAATATCTTTTTATATTTGTGTATTTTATTCATGTTATTGTAAAGTAATAATGATATAAATAAAACATTCATTCCAATTTTATTGACAATTGTTAATGAAAACTAAGTTGTTACAACATTGAAAATCATCAATGAAAATTATATAGTCATCTATTATTTTTTATCATATATATAGTTAAAAAAGATAGTTTTCAAAAAAAAATATGTTATTAAATTTTAGAAAGTCCATGGCTTGTTGATGGGTTTGGCAAATTTTTTTTATTTTATCTTTTAATATTGGATTGATTAAAATTAAGTTTCATAATTTATTTCATTTTGATTTCTATAAGATTATCATAATCTTAAAAAAATCTCAGGATTAATTTGACGCTCAATTTTACAATCATCCATTTTAGTTTAGATTAATGGTTAGAAAAAAAATATTTTCTTAGTTTATATTTGACCTATAAATAATGCAATTTACCTTAGTTAAGTTGTATTAAGGGTGATAATACCTTCCTTTTACACAATCTATTTCCCAAACTCTAAGACTAGTTAGGGTTCCTAGTAACCAAAATACTAGCGATATTTTTCTTTTTATCATATAGTTAAAAGTGATAGTTTTAGGATCAAAAACATGTTATGAAATTTTAAAAAGTCCATAGGCTTGTTAACAGGTATAGCAAGGTTAACTCTCTTTTTTATTTTATTTTTTAATATTGAGTTGATTGAAATTAAATTTAATAATTTATTTCATTTTGATTTCTATAAGATTATCATAGTCTTAAAAAAAATCTCAAGATTTATAAATTTTATATTTTAGTTATCATATAGTTAAATAAATAATAAGTTATTAACTCAATAAAATTCATTACCCAGCTTGCAAAGCTAATTTAATATAATAACCTAAGTTATCTAATTCATATGTTTAGCAAGTTAAGCCATCAAACTTGGTAAGTTTTTTATAATTTCTAATCCTTTAATTTTTTTTATTATTTGTTTTATGTCACTTTTCTTTATTATCATTTTGATTTCTATAAGATTATCATAATCTTAAAAAAAAAATCTCAAGATTTATAAATTTTATATTTTAGTTATCATATAGTTAAATAAATAATAAGTTATTAACTCAATAAAATTCATTACCCAGCTTGCAAAGCTAATTTAATATAATAACCTAAGTTATCTAATTCATATGTTTAGCAAGTTAAGCCATCAAACTTGGTAAGTTTTTTATAATTTCTAATCCTTTAATTTTTTTTATTATTTGTTTTGTCACTTTTCTTTATTATTAGATTATTTGTAGTTTTTTTTTTTTTTACTTTCTATAATATTACCATAATCTCAAATAAACATCTTTTTAAGTTTTGCAAATATCTAATGATATCATAAAATAAAATAAAATAATTTACAAAAACAACAAAATTATTAAACACATTAAATTCTATAATCCAAATCACAGGTTAAATAAGATCAATCCAATCTAGTATTCTTTCAATATTAAAAAACAAAAAATTATCTTCAAAGTCTTTTTTAAAACTATTTCATGTTTTTATTTATTATCCAAGTTATGTCTAGAACCATTACATATAATAATTTATTTTGAATCAGCTCTTATACAATTTAATTCAAAACTCGAAATAGTTGTATACTATATATCCAAGCTGCTGCAATGGTTTGCATGTATATTGACTGCTCTAGAGATTGGATCATATGTATCTGCTTTATAGGTAGGCAATTTCTTGTTTTGCAATATTGCCTATTCTGAATTTGGATGTATTTCTTCTCCCACTCGAAGCCATGACCCTGTTTGCATCCCCTTCTTATCCTGAATCTCATATCTCAACAATATTCCAAATAAAATCTTCCCCTGCAAGGAGCATAATTTAATTTACTGAATGCTATGAATTGAGATCAACAAAGATAACATATTTGACTATGGCTGGCTGTGATGGTTAACCTTCACTCTCCTGTATGAAGCCAAAGTTGCTAAAGGCTCATTTGACCTCTGCACTAGTCCAGCTTGATGAACTAAATTGATCATCTGGCAGCGGTTGCATCCACCCAGCGACTGTTAACAAAAGCAAATGAAACAACAATACCTTATAAAAAATACCTCAAAAATAGATGAAGGTTGAAATCACCTACCTACTCCCCTAGTAGTATGTCCTCACCCAGTCGAAGATCAGATTCTTGTTATACCTTTTGATCATAAAAAGACCATTAATTAATATATTTTATCCATATGCATCATCAAAGATTATTTCCACACACATTTATGGATACACACGCATATAAATATCTTTTTATATTTGTGTATTTTATTCATGTTATTGTAAAGTAATAATGATATAAATAAAACATTCATTCCAATTTTATTGACAATTGTTAATGAAAACTAAGTTGTTACAACATTGAAAATCATCAATGAAAATTATATAGTCATCTATTATTTTTTATCATATATATAGTTAAAAAAGATAGTTTTCAAAAAAAAAATATATGTTATTAAATTTTAGAAAGTCCATGGCTTGTTGATGGGTTTGGCGAATTTTTTTTATTTTATCTTTTAATATTGGATTGATTAAAATTAAGTTTCATAATTTATTTCATTTTGATTTCTATAAGATTATCATAATCTTAAAAAAATCTCAGGATTAATTTGACGCTCAATTTTACAATCATCCATTTTAGTTTAGATTAATGGTTAGAAAAAAAATATTTTCTTAGTTTATATTTGACCTATAAATAATGCAATTTACCTTAGTTAAGTTGTATTAAGGGTGATAATACCTTCCTTTTACACAATCTATTTCCCAAACTCTAAGACTAGTTAGGGTTCCTAGTAACCAAAATACTAGCGATATTTTTCTTTTTATCATATAGTTAAAAGTGATAGTTTTAGGATCAAAAACATGTTATGAAATTTTAAAAAGTCCATAGGCTTGTTAACAGGTATAGCAAGGTTAACTCTCTTTTTTATTTTATTTTTTAATATTGGGTTGATTGAAATTAAATTTAATAATTTATTTCATTTTGATTTCTATAAGATTATCATAATCTTAAAAAAAAAATCTCAAGATTTATAAATTTTATATTTTAGTTATCATATAGTTAAATAAATAATAAGTTATTAACTCAATAAAATTCATTACCCAGCTTGCAAAGCTAATTTAATATAATAACCTGAGTTATCTAATTCATATATTTAGCAAGTTAACCCATCAAACTTGGTAAGTTTTTTATAATTTCTAATCCTTTAATTTTTTTTATTATTTGTTTTATGTCACTTTTCTTTATTAGATTATTTGTAGTTTTTTTTTTTTTTACTTTCTATAATATTACCATTATTAGATTATTTGTAGTTTTTTTTTTTACTTTCTATAATATTACTATAATCTCAAATAAACATCTTTTTAAGTTTTGCAAATATCTAATGATATCATAAAATAAAATAAAATAATTTACAAAAACAACAAAATTATTAAACACATTAAATTCTATAATCCAAATCACAGGTTAAATAAGATCAATCCAATCTAGTATTCTTTCAATATTAAAAAACAAAAAATTATCTTCAAAGTCTTTTTTAAAACTATTTCATGTTTTTATTTATTATCCAAGTTATGTCTAGAACCATTACATATAATAATTTATTTTGAATCAGCTCTTATACAATTTAATTCAAAACTCGAAATAGTTGTATACTATATATCCAAGCTGCTGCAATGGTTTGCATGTATATTGACTGCTCTAGAGATTGGATCATATGTATCTGCTTTATAGGTAGGCAATTTCTTGTTTTGCAATATTGCCTATTCTGAATTTGGATGTATTTCTTCTCCCACTCGAAGCCATGACCCTGTTTGCATCCCCTTCTTATCCTGAATCTCATATCTCAACAATATTCCAAATAAAATCTTCCCCTGCAAGGAGCATAATTTAATTTACTGAATGCTATGAATTGAGATCAACAAAGATAACATATTTGACTATGGCTGGCTGTGATGGTTAACCTTCACTCTCCTGTATGAAGCCAAAGTTGCTAAAGGCTCATTTGACCTCTGCACTAGTCCAGCTTGATGAACTAAATTGATCATCTGGCAGCGGTTGCATCCACCCAGCGACTGTTAACAAAAGCAAATGAAACAAGTGACGTTGAGATTCAATGCTCAATAAAATGTATATCAATCCACTATGTTAAGTTCCAGAGGCAATTTACTGGTAGCCCTTAAATATGAGTAATTACGTTCCTGAGTCAAATTATAACTTCCATTCTTGTAAGTATAAATCAAATTGATTATCACTTGCAAATGTTTTCTGGACTTGTGTTGGAAGAAGGGTGAAAACTCAAGGAATCTACTAGTTGCTAATGAACTTGTAAAGGACTCTAAACCATACATAAGTAATGCAGGGAAAATTAAACAGGACATTGAAAAGTATAGCAAGTTCGTATAACTGTACTGTGTCAACAAGCTCAGGTTTTTTAATATTCAGGTATTACAGAAATTACAGTCACTTACCATAAAATTCTTATTTCCGATTTTGATATTCAGCCATCCATCTTCGGCATAAGGCTCACCTCCATATACAACTAGGTTGGGCCGGAATCTCATTGGATTGATTTTAACTGATGTTCCACGAGTTCCTTTTTGTGCATCTACTAGCAACAATAAAGGTTTCTCATCAATTTTATGCATATTTCTATGATCATCAATAAAATCACATTTCTTTCCATGCAACAACCAGAACTAGCAAAGTTCATTTTCTTGTGGAAAATAAATTATTCAGTCCAAAAGAGTGCGAGTACGAGCTTGTTCTGAGAATGTGAAGTTGTATGGGCAACATAGTGCGAACATACTTAAGCTCAATCTGTTGTTGAGGTCGGAGACACTCTCCTCTGATATTAATAAGAACTGAGCTTCATTGGCAAAATTCAATCTGCTCTCCACATCTCTGCACAAGTTCCTGCTTTTATCCTTCTTCAAGCTGGAGTAATTCTTGGAACTACAACATCTTAATAAAGAGCAAGGATGGCCAACAGCATGGCTAAACCACAAGTCGACATCATTCTCATAGTATTGGACTTCATATCTGCTTCATGAACAAGCAACCGTCATAACCCTCACACTTAGTATGAACCATGCTTCCTATCATGGATAAAACTAAGAGAACATTCAGAAGTACGATAATGTGAATAATATTCCAAAAGCATTTATAAAGCAACAATTTCAGAACTGAATATTCACATTTCACACGGTATTATGAAAACAAATGAAGTCAATATTACTCATCTTCAGATAGTCCAACAAAAAGGACACATTGATAAAATTCCAGAATACACAGGCATGAAACTACTAGCACTTAAAACTTCAAAATCAGTATTACCATACCTCTGGGCATGCAACTCAATCTCCTCTATCCCACCTGGATATGAATCTGCCTTCAGGTTGATCTCCATTTTTTCTCTACATCGAGGGGATTCTACAAACATTATTCCCTTATTGAGGTCAATATAAGCACTAACAGAGCACATGTCAGGAACCTACAAAAGAAATTCAGATATATTAACCTTTTATCTAGGAAGGAAAACAAGAAAAATGATAGCCATTCCACAAACATTGTTTTGTTCACCTTTTTCTGTGTAAGGATTTCACCGGTTAGACTTTTAAGAAGCCATTCTCGATCATGTTGCAAACCTACTCAAGCCAGCAGTAGAAAGTCAAAACATAATTCATCTATACCATAATCTATGATTTCTATCTACAATTCCAGTAAATGTTGAGACTGCACTGCAATAAAATGTTTCAACAAGTCAAAAAGGCATGCTATTAGATCCCACCTTAGATGTGATTGATTTTTGGCTGGATAATGTACTTTAAAAGCTGTTAAATGAAAGCTCAAGTTTTTCAGTTTTGAACGCTCTAACAGTCTCATGTCTCATTATATTTGCATGGTCATATGCTATATATATCATACTCGTTAAATATGCATGTATATGTATCATGCACATTACTCAAAGGCTGCCAGTTTAGTTTCAGCTGTGGGCTAGGTTTTATTCATTTAATTGTGTCAAATAATGTCAGAGGGTATTATTAAGGAATCTCACTAACTGTATAGCAAAGGTTCAAGCTCTATATACTGTATGCACTCTTCCTGACAGTGACAAGGATTAGCATATTTAGTTAGTGTATGGCATGTCCACTAAATAGCTAATTTATGAGATTGTGACTATAACTATAAACAGGATATAACTACAAAATTTACAGGAAAAGATTGGTAGATACCATTTCCAGAAAGAAAATAAAAAATATGCAGAATTAGATCCAATAAGAAGTTGTCTGTCTGTTAATACAAATCGAAAACTAGTTGCATGGGGAAGTGACTGCAACAAAATTCTCTTGCCATTAGGAAATGAAAATATGATAAAAGAGAAATCCAAAACAATGAACTTTTTGCATTTGCCTAGTGCCAATACTGTCTTGTCTAGTTTGCCTGCATCTTCAATTTGTTAAAGATACTCATTTTTTTAATGATGCTTGTTAACCTAGTACAAAAACAAAGGAATTGAAAAAATAAAATATACAGATTGTTCACAAGTCTATGTGATCCAACAATCCAATTGAAAGGCTCATGTAGTGTTAAAAACAAAATCAAATAGCTACCAGTGCTGCTCAGAGGCCAACTTTCCACACTGAATCCTGTACATGATTTTATTGGATAAACTGTTATAGACTTGAGGTAATAACCAGCTTTTCTTTCATGGCCTGCAGTGTCAGCAAAGAATCAGATGACAGTTGAAGGAGACCATGTTTCGCAAAAAAAATCAGTAGTCTTTAGTCTAATAAATTTTGAGGGGATATTAGGCGACATCAATATGTACACTCTACTATTGACCACTGGGAGTTTTAAAGTATAAAGATGTGAAATTTTGATTACATTCACAGGAGTGCAAAGCAAAGTGAAAACTAACCTTCATTTGACAAGAGGATGGATTTTGTTCTCAACATATTCCAGTTTTCTGACTTATTTGGCTTTGATACAAATGAACTTGTGATAAAATCAATAAATTTCTGCACGTCCAAAATTGAAAAGAAAGCAAGAGAAATCAGCTAACAAGAACCCATATTACATTAAGACCTAACAGCATCTGATAAATTCTTTGGGAACTTCACTTTCTTTCAACCAATACATTTAAAACAACCATAAGTGCTACTAAAGAATAAATGCCATTTCTTTATAAATATAATTAAGTAGAATAGAATCTGCATGGATACAAAGAATAAGAAACACCAAGATAATCCCTTCTCCTTGAAATTGGACTGTAAAGCACCTACCTTGGCATCTTCATACGTAGACATGTAACCGAATGACACTCTAACAGCCCCAGTTAGTTTTCCTTGTATAATATCATTATCATCCCAGCAAACATGACCAGCCTGAATTTAAAAGAAGAATTAAAAAGGCATTAAAATGTATCAATTTGCATTATACCAATGTAATGAAATTAATACACCAGCAATAACAGTTCAATCAACTCTATCTTCTTGTCTCTTTAAGTATGATATTGCGAACAAGTACCTCTAAGTTTGAAAGAAGATCCAGGTGAGACAAGCCAAGATATTTTGCACATGCTCCTGGATTACAAAAGCATCCTGTCTGCAGAAAAAAAAGCAGACAAGTAGCAAAGCAAATATTATCAGAATCACATAATGAAGATTGATTAGATGCTGACAGCTTTAAATTTCTCCAAGATCATCAACATCAGTGTGAACATCATGTAAAATTTTTTAATAAAAAAGATGGCATAACATAGTACACCCAGTGTCCATCAAAAGATCCAACTAATTGTTTATCGATGACTGAAGAATATGAACTTTCTACCAATAATCATCACCAATTGAATTATAATCAAATTGCTTTAGGTCATTTAGCAATGTCAGTAATTGACGATTATACAATTTGAACAACTGTGAATTCACCTCAATCTTCAAACAAAATGGGCAAATCCCCTTTGATTAAAGATTTGACTGAAGAGTCATTTTTAATCATCTATCCCATTTTACCTCATTGGTATTATTATGCTTGAAGGTGCGAGAACAGGGTCAAGTTACCAGAAGCATATACAAGCACTGTTTTTTATTTATTTATTTATTTTTAAAAAAAATAAGCGTTTATTTGAAAAGAATATAAAATAAAATAAAATAAAAAACTGAAAAGAGAGGTGACAAGAAAGTGTGATAATTAATTGATAAAAATGACAAGACCACCTCCTCATTTTTTTATTTTTTTTAAGAGATAATATCAATTGTTTAGTGACATGGTCAAATCAGCTGGATCTTCCCACTCATTGTGGGATAGGAATTTAGTTTCAATTTGGATAATTGGCAATTGAATAAAAAGAGATATGAGACAAGCATTCCACAGAAGATGGCAAACAAACCCACATACACATGCACCAATGGTTCAGAATTTCTCAAATTTTACCCGTAACTGAATTCCAGATAAGGAAGCGAGTTTTTCCACCTCACTGTATCCAAACCATGAGCCATCAGGCCTTTTCAAGTTGAATGACACTATGGAACCTGATTCATGACAAACTAACTGAAAGACAACCTGTATTAGGATTGAACCCAGTAAAAGTAACTAAAATATGTAAAAAAAAGATGCATGCATATACAAATATAATTGCATGCATTGGTGCACAAAAGAAAAAGGCAATCCCAAGAAGTAAGGTATATCAGTCTTATGACAGACAGAAAAGTGAAGAATATTTCTGAACAGTGTCTGGGTTATGGATTATAGTTATTCATCACAAAGTGATAAGGAATGCATCATCCATTATTGATACTCAGCACATTCTAGGATGCATAACTCAGGAGATGAAGACTGGAATTAATGGATGGAAATTTGGCATACCTAATGAGCATTACATTTGATATTCATAGGTCAGTTTGGCCTTGTCAATGATTACTGTTGAACAAAAGCAACAACTGTTGTTTTTCTAAAACCTACTTCCATCTATTTTTGTAGGATAAAGAAGTTGTAGTAGAGTAATAGCAGTTTTTGGTAAGCATCTACCATATAGTGCAGTCACCACACAATAGCTGCAAGGTGACCACTTAGCAAGGCCAAACAGCCACTGACTACTATGCAATTAGGGCTACAATGAGGCAAGAAATGAACCTCACAAATCAACACAGCATAACTTTTATGTTTAAGAAAATGAAGTTTTAACAATGAATCTCTATTATAATTCTCAAAGGTTTGACAATTACCTTCTATATTTGTAAATATCTTATTCTTTCCTTTGTTAGGATACTAGTTGTAGGCTAGTTGTGAGGAAAGTAAGTATATGGTAGGTTAGCTATTTTATAGGAGCTAGAATTTAGCACATAATTTTATTCAAGATAAATAGCGATTCTCCATAGAGGGAACACAACTTTTCCTGCTCAAAGTTTTCTAAGTTTGTATAAAAGCCTTTCTCAGCCTAACCTAGTTCCGTCTTTGTTTGTTCTTCATGTCTCTTGTCCTCAAGTCCATCTTAGTCCTATTGAAATTCCTTATTCTCAGTTATTCTAGATCAAACAATCTTGGCATCATGTCTTCAGAAAAGTCTGGAACTTTCCTGATTCCATTCTAATGGCCAGAATTATTCAGCATGGGCATTCCACTTCATGATATTTGTCAAAAGGAAGGATCTATAGGGCCATGTTGATGGCAGCAACCCCACTCCTGACAAAATCAAAGACAAGGAACAGCACACCAGGTGGGAGGTCACGGATGCCCAAGTTATGGCATGGATTTTAGGATCTTTCAAATCCAACATCATCTTGAATCTTCAATCCTCCACGACTACAGTGATGCTGATTGAGCTAGTTCCCCAGATACTAGGAAATCCACTACAGCTGGTGGATGTTTCTTGGTGATGTGTTTATCTCTTGGAAATGCAAGAAAAAGGACTGTCTCTAATTCATCTAAAGTGGCTGAGTACCACACCATGTTTGTTGCCTACTCCAGGATCATTTGGCTTCACAGTCTTCTCATAGAGCTTGGCTTTTCCAAGGTTCAACCTCCACCCGTGCATGCTGACAACACTAGCACCATCCAAATTGTTTTCAATCTTGTCTACCACAAACGCATGAAGCACATGGAGGTTGACTGTCACTCCATTCAGGATGCCTTTGATCATCAAGTTATTACCCTCCCACATATCACTACTACTCTCTAAATCACCATCAATTTGATAATTGATGAGGGATGTCAAAGGAGTTCGTTGTTTATGTAAAGATAAATTTGACAATTACCTTTATATTTGTAAATATCTTATTCTTTCCTTTGTTAGGATACTAGCTATAGGCTGGTTGTTAGGAAAGCATGTACAGGGTAGGTTAGCTATTTTATAGGAGCTAAAGTTTAACATGTATTCATATTCAAGATAAATATCGATTTTCCAAAGAAAACAAAAACATGGACAATGATCTATATGTGCTTTTAAATAATAAAAGAAAATTGTGCTAGTGCTTTTACTTTACTTAAATGTCATTCCTACAGACAAGAGCTAGAATAACGTGAAAACATATGGAATTACTCACATGAACTGACCTTTAATATTTATCATAAAAAAGAACCAACCTTTGAAGTATGACCTTCATAAATGATGCAAACATTAGCTTCATTTTCATGCCTTAGGCCCAAAAGCATCTTCTTGACATACATGGTAAGTGCTGCAATATGCCTGAAATAAGTAGATTAAGTCCCATTACATTGCTCATACATTAATGGCTAAGAACAGGCTGACTTGCTATAGAAGATCATGCAATTCATATAGATTAAACTTTACAAGCCTTAATCTTTAAAATGCCTTTTCAATAAATTCCTCCAACAAACAATATCCAACACATGCTATAGTCAAATCACAAGTGTTTCCATTCAACAAAGTACAATAAATCCACAATATCCTGACATATTTTACATACCGACTCATCATAGATGGAGTTAGAGAATTGAGGATTTTGAACCCATGGCGTATTGATGCTATACTCAGAAATGAAATGGTGCCATCCTCAAAATGCTCTTCAATACCTTCTCTTCTTCTAACAAAGTCCATGTCAGCAAATGATGCAGCAACTGTGCCTGAAATGCTTTTAAAATCAACCAAAGTAGAAGGCATTATGTTTTGAATTTTATTATTAACACATCTAAGCACAAACCTCCGCTGAAGTAAGTCTTCTTCATCAACCTGGCAGCATCTGTTGCATCACAATAATGTAGATGAAAGTTAGAGAACTGTGACATCTCACATCAAATATCAGTAATCCAATAGAACGATCCTTGGTACAAATGTCTAGAGGACCTCCTAAAAAAGTAACCACATCTAGCACTAAATCTGTCAAAGCAACCACATCTAGCACTAAATCTTCAAAACCAATCACTTACCATTTTGAACAACAAGAGCACCAAGTCCAGTTGGATAGCCAAACAGCTTGACAGGACAACAAGGCAAAAAATGAATATGGAATGATAGTTTAAAAAGAATAAATGAATCAAGGGAAAAATGTATATACCTTATAGAAAGAGATTACAACAAAATCCACAGCGTACTTGGATAAATCTGGAGGGCATGTAGTACATCCTTTTGCAGCATCAAGCAAAACAATCCAGTGACCCCTATTTACCAAACCAGAAGACTATTGATCAATGCTAACTGAAGAACCAGTAAAGTCTATGCGGCATAAATAGAAAAAAGAACTTCAGTTCGGGTTTATCTGAGACTTTCCTGATGGCCTCCAGCAAAACAGGGTCAACAGGTAAGGTCGCAAAAAGAAGGCAATTAACGGTTTTCTTTTCTTCGAGTTGTTTACATTTTTTTTAACTCATGACACAAAATGTATTTTCAGCCTAAAATCAACCCAATCCATTTATGGTGATATGCAACTTATTCACTTTGAGTGAGTGTATGGAAAGTCATAGGTAATCGATACAACCAAATTAGCATCTAGCAAGTTCCCTCGAAGGAGCAAACCATAAGAAAGAAGCTCATCATTGGAAGTAAATAGAAAATAACAAAATGAGATAGCACCTTACATACTTGCCAAAAGGAGAGCCTTCCAAAATTCTTTCTGAATTTTCCTTAATAAGATTAGCCAAGTCAAGACTGAATCTCAAACCAGAGAAATTGCACTCAGAAGGGAATGCAAATAGGTTATAAGCATTTCCTGCAAAAATAAAAATACAAGATGAAGATCAAGTGACCTCTACCTTAGCAAACTCCAACACAATCATTGGCTGGAGGGAAACTATCATTTGCTGTGATGTTATCAATAATCTTCCATCTTTTTCCCTCATTATAGCATCATGTAATATCCTACAGACAGGCCAACAGGAAGTATATACCAAACTCAATGTTTCCTTTGAATGCTATAAAAATCACCAAGGAGAAATATGACGTGATGATTTAAACTAAACACCAAGTCTTGTCACTTTCTAAATAGAAGTTCTTGTGTGCTATTTTAAGGGTATAATTTCCAAGGATTACCAGATGGCTCCTCTTCTAGAATTTTAGCTTCATTCCTCCTTTGCGTTGCATGTGGGGATAACTTCACCCGTTCCTCCTGGCCTCCAGATGCTCCACCTCCATTAACATTGTCTTCAACATCTACTGCAAATGCAGCAGCCCCTTTACTGAGAGCATATCTAAAAATTATCAAGGATGAACATATCTTGAGAGCAAAATGAGGATAAAAAACAGAAGCATGAAACACAAGAAATTATAGAGCACTCCCCAGAGTACATGTACCTTCTACTGAATTCATGTGGGACCCACTTGTAACTACCTTTGGCCTCACATGCATCCGAGTGGGAAGCACTGACCGAAAGTACCTCATAATAATTAATTAGCAGGAAAAAAACCCCAGAGCTAGGTGATTCCACAAATTGAAGGATACTCTCTAATACCAAGCACGCTATTATGATTCTCCATAGTATACATAAAACAACTCTCCCTACTCCAAGGGAACGCCTCCCCAACCAACTTCAAAGCCGCAGTGGCTCCAGAAGTAAATATGCATCTATACTCTTTAGCAGATGCATTGCAATAATCAAGCACCTTCCCATAAAAAATTTTAAAAAAAAAAACACAAAACACTTAATGGTTCAACAAACAAACAAAAAAAACCCACAAAATCAATACTTATAACAATCAAAATCAAATGAACTTTACCTGTTGTCGAACTTCTCTTATAATATCAGATGTTGCAGAACTGGAATCACTTTGGCTATCTATTTTTTCCCCCGAAATTAAAGAATTTTCATATTTACAGCTCAAAATAATCAACAAGACAAATTAAAGAGAAAAAATAGGATACGTGGGTTTGCATAGATATTTGAGTTGAAATCTTTAAATATTTCTTCCATTTGTAACTCAGAGTATAAAGTAGCACCAGCATGATCTAAATATACAATACCTGCAAAGGGGAAAAGAAAATTATAACAAATTGAAACTATAAAAAGAAACAAGAAAAGAAGTATTAGAGGTTACTGAGAGGGGACCCTTTTGGTCTAATCGATTAAATTCAGTGGCTCGAATTTCGTCGATAGATTTTGGACCGTTTGGGTAACCATAGTCGGAACCAAACTCCTTCAAGAACTCAGCCTTGTCTGCATCCATGATGTTCTTTTTGGCTCCTCTTTTTCCTTTTTCAGTCACTTGGCCAGCCACGTGGTAAATAAAACGCCTTGAACTACTAGCAGGTATCAACTGTACTCGCAATAACAGGATATGACTTGAGTTAATTGATAGCACAAAGGAAGAATATTTCAGCGCTATAAACGTAATTTCCAGTATTACTAGCATATTGGCCGCTCAATAATAATTGTTTTTAAATATAAAAAAAAATAAAAAATATTAAGAATATATTAAATGTTTTGGATGATAATAATAATGCTAGATCCAGAATAACTTTGGGTCTAATAGTTAAGAAGTTTGAAAACAACAGGTCCAGTTAAGCAGCTAAATTTAATGCTATTAAATCCTGTTGTGCAATGAGACCCAATGCTTTTTTCATTCTCTTTTATTACCGGCATCCTTTGAAAATTGCCTTGTAATCCTACCTCTAGCAAAATCTCACGTAACTCTCTAATTTTCTTCACCAGAGAGTAAGAAATTAAATTGCATCTTGTGTCCTGGAATACAAGCAAAATAGTGATAATCTTCCAAAAATTCTTAAAAGATATAATCAGAGGCAGGAGCATTAGACGTTTCGTCGAGTAAACGGTTGACTATTGGAGCCCCTGGAGTAAAGAAGGAGACATCGAATATAGCAAAAATGTCTCAAAGAGAATGGGGGAGGCTGCTCTTTTTTAGCTTAGACCAACGGCACCAATTCCTAGTGTTATAATAGATACTACCCTTAATTCACAAATGAAAGCCCTTACAACACAATCGCTCACTAACTTTATTAGGCCACAATGTTATTAGGCCATGCTACCAACATCTATTTCCTTCATTTCGATAACCAACACTCTTTTCAAAGCCACCTTATAATAGTCTTGGTTCTTGCTTCGTGGGTTTGTCATCGTATTAAAATAATATAAAAATATAAAAAAAAAATGTTAATTTAAAGTAAAAAAATATATCAAATTTTTTAAAAATAATTATTTAAAGTAAAAAAATAAAAAAATATATCAAATTTTTAAAAAAAAAAAATTTGAAATGCAAAAATAAATATATTTTAATAAAAAAATTTAACCCAACTTCAAATGAAAAAACAAATTATCACCCAAAATTTATACAATATAAAAAAGTTACTTCAATTTATTTCCCTTTACAATATGGAAAAAAAATTAATAAGAGGAAAAAAATAAAGAGGAAAAAAATAAAAAAATAAGAAAATTAATTTGAAGTAAAGAAATATTAATTTGAGATAAAAAAAAAAATAAATTCTTTTAAAAGCATTTTTGAAACACAAAAACAAACATACTTTAATAAGAAAATTCAAGACAACCCAAAAATGAAAAAAATATATTAATACTTTAATAAGAAAATTCAAGACAACCGAAAATAAAAAAAATATATCATCACCCATCTTTTGTACAATATAAAAAAAGTTATATCAATTTATTTTCTTTTTACAATATGAAAAAACAAAGTCAATAAGAAAAAGAAAAAAAATTAAAGACAAAAAAATCAAATTAAAAATATCTTAAAAGGAAAAAAATTAAAGGGAAATAAATTAATTGTCACTGTATTAAAAAATCAAATTAAAAATATCTTAAAAGGACAAAAATTAAAGGGAAATAAATTAGTTGTCAGTGTATTGAGCGCTGCTCTACTATGCCGATCTTCATGGATTTACTATAGAAAATATTTTATTTGAAGATAGTGATGATATAGATAGATTTCATATTTTAACCCTACTCAAGCATTTTTGTATTTGAAAAAAAAATTATAATTAACCCACTGCAAAGCACAGGCTAATATGTTAGTTATAATATTATTAAGTAATGGTTATTTTTTAAAATATATTAAGATAATATTTAATTTAATTTAATTTAATTTTTAACATTTATTTTTTATATCATCATATCAAAATAATATAGAAACATCAAAAATATTAATTTGAATTAAAAAATAAAAACTTAATTGTTATTATATTAGGAGCTACTCTGCTATACGTTATTCATGGTGCTACTATGTAAAATACTTTATATGAAGATAGTAATGGTACAAATATATTTTGTACTTTTAACTCAACTCAAGCATTTGAACATTTGAAAAACAAATTTGTTATTAACTCATTACGGAGCATAAGACAATATGCTCGCTATTATATTATTATGTAATGCTTATTTTTTAAAACATAAAAAATGTATTCATTTGAATTAAAGAAAAAAATAAAAAATAAATTCAAAGTTTTTTAAAGCTTTCTTGAAAGACAAAAATAAACATGTTTTATTAAGAAAATTCAAGTCAATCTCAAATGAAAAAACAATTATCATCACCAAAATTTTACACAATGTAAAAAAAATCAATTTATTTCTTCTTTATAGTATGAAAAAATAAAATAAAATAAAATAAAATAAACAAATCTAAAGAGAGAGAAAAAATTAGAAATATTTGACAACCCAACCAGACCTAATAGCATTGGCAGCTAGACCAAACGCCTTTAAAAAGTGATTAGGGTGTGGCCTTCACACCAAACCTAATCGTGTTAGGTCTGACAACCAAATCAGACCAAATAACTTTTAGTATAGAAAACAGGCAAGACAATGCCCAATAACACTTTTTTATTAAAAAAATAACTATGATTTAATAAAAAATTCAAATCAACCTTAAATAAAACAAAATTATTATCACTCACCTTTTGTACAATATATAAAAAAATTCTCATCAATTTATTTCTTCTTTACCATTTGAAAAAAAAAATAAAAGAAAAGAAAAATATCTAAAAAGTAAATAAAATAAAATAAGAAATATATGGTAGCCCAATCGAAATTTATTTCTTCTTTACCATTTGAAAAAAGATAAATAAAAGAAAAGAAAAAAATCTAAAAAAGTAAAAACAATAAAATTAGAAATATATGGTAGCCCAATCGGACCCAAGATTAGTGGATCTAGTTGAAAGCTGGACCAATAGACTTGAATCTAGTTAAGCCAAACCTAGTGGCACTTTTTGAAGTAAAAAATAAAAAAAATAATTTTTTAAAAGTAATTTTGAAACACAAAAACAAACATGTTTTAATAAGAAAATTCAATCCAACCTGAAATGACAAAAAATTATTATCACTCAACTTTTATATAATATAAAAAATGTCTCATCAGTCTATCTTCTCTTTACAGTATGAAAAAAAAATCAATAAGAGAAAGGAAAAAATTTAAACACAAAAAATAATTAAAATATCTTAAAAGAAAAAAATTAAAGGGAAGGAAATTAGTTGCTGGTGTATTAGGCACAGCTTTAATATGCGTTATTAATAGTGCTACTATAGAAAATACTTTATTTAAAGAAAGGGATGTTGCAAATACATTCCATGCTTTTAACCCAAATTGTTAATTCGAAAATCAAATTGTTATTAATCCGCTACAGAACATGAACCAATATGCTAGCTATTATATTATTACATAATGATTATTTTTTAAAACAACAAAAAATATTAATTTGAATTAAAGGAAAAAATAAAAAAATCAATTTTTTAAAGCATTTTTGAAAGGAAAAACAATCATGCTTTAATAAAATAATTCAACTCAACCTCAAATGAAAAACAATTTATCATCACCGAACTTTTACACAATATAAAAGAAGTCTCATCAATTTATTTCTTCTTAATTGTATGAAAAAAAATTAAATAAAAGAAAAGGCAAAAAATCTAAAAAGACATAAAAATTAAATTGAAAATATTTGGCAGCTAGACTAAACACTTTTTGGAAGCAATTTGGGTGTGATTTTCAAGCCAAACCCAATTGCATTAGGTTTGGCTGACAAGTCAGATCAAACAACTTTTAGTATAGAAAACAGACAAAACAACGTCCAATAACACTTTTTTTATTAAGAAAACAAACATGCTTTAATAAGAAATTTTAACTCAACCTTAAATGAAAATAAATTATCATCACTTAATTTTTGTATAATATAAAAAAATCCCATCAATTTACTTCTTCCTTACCATATGAAAAAAAAAAATCTAAAGAGACAAAAAAATAAAATTGAAAATATATGGTAGTCCAATCTGACTCAAGATCAGTGAGTCTGGTTGAAAATCAGAACTAATAGACTTGAATCTAGCTATGAGCTTAACCTGATAACATTGAGTCTGTCAATCAAGCCCAATCCCATAATATTTTTTGAAGTAAAGGAAAAAAAATTAAAAATGTTTTAAAAGCATTTTTGAACACAAAAACAAACATACTTTAACAAGAAAATTCGACCTAACCTGAAATGACAAAAAATTATCATCACTCAAATTTTATACAATATAAAAGAAGTCACATTAATTTATTTTCTCTTTATGATATAAAAAAAAAATTCAATAAGAGAAAAGAAAAAATTGAAAACAAAAAAAAAATTGAAAATATCTTAAAAGCAAAAAAAATTAAAGGAAAAGAAATTAATTATCAGTGTATTGGGGCTGTTCTATTATGCGTTATTTATGGTGCTACTGTATAAAGTAGTTTATTTGAAGATGATGATGGTATAAATACATTAAGCGCTTTTAATCCAATTCAAGCATTTTAACATTTGAAAAAACAATGGTAAACATTAATTTTTAATAAAAAAATGAAATGGAAATTTGATTTTGTTAATTAAAAAACAAAAAATAGATTCCCATGAAAATATCTGATTTATATTATTTTTGAATGTTTTATTTAATTATATAACAATTAAAATGGCAATTAAAAAGTTCATTTTTAGTCTAGTAATTTTTAGTCTAGTAGTATGATTTATTGAATAAAAACTAATGGCATTTAAAATAAATATTCAAAGAAATAATAATGATTTAAAATAAGGATGAGAAACATTTATATCATTAATCAAAACTATCTTAACTTATTCACTAGTTTCTTTCTTTCTTACAAAAATATTTCTTTCCTATTACAATATTTTTTTTAAATAAAAAATTATTATTAAAAAAAGCATGCAAATATATTAAAAAATATGAGAGTAGTAATTTTGAAAAAAAATATAAGTGTACAATAAAAAATAATAAAATAGATATTTTATTCACATTGTATATTCATGAGCTATTTTTTATATTCACATTGTATATTCATGAGCTATTTAAAAAAAAAACAATTTCACATTATGTTTTGTATG